AAAAAGGTATGTATTTATTGTCATAGTTATGTGTGTGAAAATGATGTTTTCCCTGGTGAAGAGTCATAACATTAGAATCAACTAACTGAGGTCCAATCTGGACTTTACAAGCCTTGAATCCTTTGCCAGTTTGAGCAGTCACCACACATGAGTGCATGTTCGACCAGTTGTCCCTGGATGAATGAGCTAATGTTTACATTCTTTCTCTTGTGCTCTTTTTGAAGGTGTTTAATTCAAAAACAGCAGAGCTCCTCAGCCATCACATGGTGGAAATCAAACAGAGCTTCCCCAAAGAAGGGTAAGTGAAAACACACACACACACAAAAGTTCCTGAAAGATGTGCTTAAAACTTAGAAATATTAGTTGTGATTTTTTTTTAATGTCCTTCTTTTTAGATGGGTGGAGGAGGACCCCAAAGAAATTCTGCAGTCGGTGCATGAGTGCATGGAGAGGACATGTGAAAAACTCACCCAGCTCAACATAGACATCACAAACATTAAAGGTATGTATACTTTAAGCAGCACTTACACATAATTTTCAAAGAGGTGATTGCGATCTAAGGTTTTTGGAATTTGTCCAGCTATCGGAGTGACCAACCAAAGAGAGACCACGCTGGTTTGGGACAAAGAGACGGGGGAGCCCCTCTACAATGCCATTGGTAAGGTTTTGTTTTTTGCTTTATTTGTGCATCAGTTCCATTTGTACTGGCTCAGATCAGAAATTTATTGTGAGTATAAAGGAGCTTTTCCTTCACCTGGTACCGGCTCAACTTGACTCAACTCAGCTCCACATGCTCTTGGTACCGGGTGCTTGGTTTTCCGCTGCAGATGGTCCCCTCTCAGTGTAGCTGGTTGTCATAGTGACACTGTATTACACTACTGTGATGTTGTCAGCAACCGACATAGTAACAATGGCATCAAAGGTACGCTCTTCTTGATTATTGATATGTGGCTGTTTTTAGTTAGTACAGTAACTACAGTAAAGTAATGGTCAGCGTTAAATAATGTTGCTTTTAAAAACGGTGCCTTCTTTGCTCCAAGACGTCTTTCATGTTGTTGCAGTGTCTACATGTCACTGTTTGGTATTGCCTCTGCCCGCTTGGAACCTCAACAGAGGTGATGCAAAAAATAGTACCACATACCAGGAACTATCTCAGACATTTGACTGATGGAAAAACAATTAAGGCAAGTCGAGTTGAGTTGAGCTGGTACCAGGCAGTGGAAGAGAGACTTTAGCTTAGAAGTGAACCACAGATCAGGTTGTTGGTGTTGATTGATTGTGGTTGCTGTGAAATAACCACATTGTTGTTGTTCAGTTTGGCTAGACCTGCGCACTCAGTCAACAGTTGAACGTCTAATTAACAAAACCCCAGGAAGGAATAAGAACCACTTGAAGGTGAGCTCCTCATCTGTTCCGTTAATTTGTCTATTTGCCTCATGTTTTTTCACTGTTTTGCTTGCATGGGATGGTAGAACAGTTTTTCAGTGTCAAACAGCTTCAAACTCCACAGGTGCTGGCAGTGGCTTTATTATCTTGATCTGGGCAGACAGCAGGTTAGGTGGACTGTTAAAGTACTGTCTGCCTCCTCATTATAGCATCATGCTGACCATATTTGTTCAAACCTTTTGTCAAGAGAATATGTTTTTACATGGTTTTTTTGTTATCAGTGTTTGCTTTTGTATGTTAAGGAGGTCATCTCAGTTGTTTATGTTATAAAATAGCTCTTATTTAATCTTTATAGTTTTTTAATTCTTAATATTTGATATTGATTTAAGCACCTTGCAGTTTAAAAGCAAAAGCAGACTTCTGGTGTATCGTTGTTAGCAGCGCTAGAAGAGTTGTCCTTGTCATCCTGTAGCATAAAACAGGGCTCCCCATCAGCACGTACTTCAGCGCAGTCAAACTTCGCTGGCTGATGGACAACGTGGCCGAGGTCCATGAAGCCATCGTATCCCACCGCGCCATGTTCGGCACCGTCGACTCCTGGCTCATTTGGGTAATCAAACAAATCCTTCCCGCCTCCACAGCTGTGTAGCTGTTATTCTTATGACAAATGTGAAGTGGACAGTTTTTGTGGAAACGATCTTATTGTGGGTGTTTTTCATGGCTGTCTGACAGTGTTTGACAGGGGGCAAGTCCGGTGGAGTGCACTGCACAGATGTGACCAATGCCAGTAGAACCATGTTGTTTAACATTCACACTATGGACTGGGACCCAGAGCTGTGCAAGTATGACTGCTGCTTTCTAATTCCACTGTGCTATCAGGTATTTGAAAAACATCTCGGACATAGACGACTTTTTAGCTCTCAAATTCATGCAGTAGTCATTAGTACATTTTAGTTGTTTTTTTTTTTTTTTAATTATATTAGAGAAGAGGGAGAAAATAACACAGTCCACTGATATTGACCTCACCTTTATTCGATAAAGCCTCAGAGTAGTTTCACAATAGATGAACAACAGATAACATATAATTTACACAACACAGAAATGGTATGGAAAACGGAATGAGCTTTGTTATTCACAGGCTGTTGTCCTCTAATTTCCATCAGATATTTTGGTATTCCCATGGAGATCTTGCCTCGAGTGAGGAGTTCTTCAGAAATATATGGGCTCATGGTAAGCACCCATAAATCTGTGAGTGCCTTTCCAAGTCTAGTCTGCTTACAGTTTCACGTTAATACGTGTTTAAGTTAACTTTTTATTCTACTGATATCATTGCTGTTTCTGGTGTGACTCTAGTTTTGTGTTCAAAGAGTCAAATGTCTCATGCAACAGGCCACTAATGAGATAAGAGGGTTTTTTGTTTATTTAAGTGCATGAAGTTTGGCCCAGAAATTATTTTAGGCATTTTTTTTTTTTTGTGTGCCGTTGTCTTTCTTCTCTTACTGGTAGAAAATATGTTCTAGCTGGGTAAGTAATACTCACCGTTACTGTTTCAACTCATCATGCAAGGTACTGTAACACAGCCCGCCTCTCTCTGGTGAAAGAGAATGCACCCTCACACAGTGCATTTCCAAGATTGATGTGAAGCTAATCTTTCAGTAGCTCATGAGGCAGGCATTAAGAAATGAACAAATGGATGCTTAGTCTCTGAAGTAACCATGGTGTAAAACAGAACCAGTTTTTAAATATGTTCTCACTTGTCCTCCTTGTACTGGACATTCACTTGTACTATATAATTTGGGCAACTTCAGCAAACGAAACAAAAGTTCAAATGAAAATCTGTCCTTTTGGACTCCTCTGTCTCTCTCTCTCTCTCTCTCATATGGACCATGGAGGGTGGGCAGTAAAAAGTCAGTGTTTAAAGAGATGAAATAGGATTTAGAATCCCCAGTGAAAAGTGAGCCCTTAGTATTTTATATGTGGACAGTGTTGCTCATTTGACAGACAGCTGTGAACCAACTGTCCAGATGCAGCTGGGCTCCAAAAACCACATATGTATCAGGACAGCACAGACACAGTAAAATGGCTGTATATTTATCTTGTGTAGCTTTATGACAGACAGTACTGTACTATACAGTAAGTTCATTGGACATAAACATGTAGACAAACATATGCACTTCACTGGAAATGTACTGGGTGTTCCCTGTCCCTCATCGCCTCTGCTGTGCATGCTGCTCCGCTGCCCGCAGCTCTCCTGGCAGACCACCTTCCTCCGCAGCATCTCGTCACATCTCCGAAATCTCTTCACTTTTCGGCACAGTTTCATTTAACCATCATTTATCCTCTGTCTGTAACCATCTAACCAAATCGACTGTTTCATGGAGGAGTGAAGATATTTTCAGTGCCTTAGTTTCCCTCAGTGTGCTTTCATTGTTACATTATAGGCTTAATGTAAAGGTGTTTCATGCAGAAATAAACCAGGTATTTTTTTCTTCATGCAATCAAATTTCCTTTTGTTTTAAGTGTTGTCCATAGTGATAAATAAAAAGTGATAAAAATAGATGTTTTCCACAGATAACAGAATTAGTATTTGATGTAACTTATTGTTGTTGATTTATTTGACTAGCAGACCTGTTTGAGTTATTTTATTGATATTGCATGGGTCCAACATTGTTTTACAGCTAGAAACACAACAGATTACTGAAGACAAATACATTTTAAATGCTCCTTTTAATAAGATTTAATCAGGAAAAAAGTGTAGTTCGCTTATAAAACAGGACTTTTTTATTTTATTTTATTTTTTACAGAAATGTGGGGCTCTTTCAGGTATCCCCATATCAGGGGTAAGTTCATCTTAATTTTTTTTTTGTACAGAATTTCCTCCATGTATGGAGGTGTTGGAACCTGTAATCTGATGAATCTATGCATTCTATTTGAAACCAGTGTCTCGGGGACCAGTCAGCAGCACTTGTAGGACAGATGTGTTTTCAGGACGGGCAAGCTAAAAACACGTAGGAGTCTGTATGTTTGAAGATTTTAAGATGAATTCTTCTTTGTTACAAGATCAACTGAAGGTTTGATTTGTCATGTTTCAGGTATGGCACTGGCTGCTTTCTCCTGCGAAACACTGGAGCCAAGGTGCATTACTTAAGATTGGTATTTTAAACACTCAGATTAAAGTTGATATCCCTGCACACGTTGCTTACGGTGATATTTTTCGGTTGTTTTGCAGCCTGTAATGTCTGACCATGGTCTTCTGACCACTGTGGCATATAAACTTGGTCGAGACAAACCTGCCTGTTATGCACTGGAGGTACTTAAAAATACTGACACTAACATTCACTTTCGCAAAACAGCTGCATCTGTCAGTCTTTTCATAATATACAGTATAGCACTCTGTGTTTGTAATCTGTAAACTAAGTCAGTTGTGATATTGGCTTCCTGTCACCCATTTTCTAACATTTCCCTGCGCAACATGTGAATTGATAGATTTAGCTGCCTATTTTTCGTTTGCCGACCTCACAGTAGTTGGTGGTTACCACAGGATGTGAGGATCTTAAAGTTCACAGGAGATTATTTGTTTTTTTTTCCCCCAGGGCTCTGTGGCCATCGCAGGAGCTGTGGTCCGTTGGCTGCAGGACAATCTCGGGATCATTGGCTCGTCTGAAGAGCTTGGTACGTTTTTGATCAGATAGAAAGATTAAATGTGATGAGCAACTTCTTCAGGACTGTGGTGTCATTTGAATTTTTGGTGGACATAACATGCAGTTATATCCCTAAAATGTGCGTGTTTTGCATTTCTTTTTTCTGTGTCACTTCCTGTGCAGAGAAGTTGGCTGCGTCGGTCTGTACATCCTATGGTTGTTATTTTGTTCCTGCATTTTCGGGGCTTTATGCACCTTACTGGGAGCCTAGTGCAAGAGGGTGAGACCAAGAGTTCTTCCTTAGTGTAATAAACATCACTGGAATTATTCTCACAGCCTGTTGAAATAAGTCAAACTCTGTGACTCACCCAGTCTTTTATTTATTTATTTATTTTTTCTGCTTCACAGGATCATTTGTGGGTTAACTCAGTTTACTAATAGGAGTCACCTTGCGTTTGCTGCACTGGAAGCTGTCTGTTTCCAGACACGAGAGGTAAGCGCCCCTGTCCTCCTCTAGCTGGTCATCAGAGGAAAGTGCTGGGTTAGGTGCACGAGCTCAGCGCAGTGTGATTTTCTAACACATTTCTGAAATGCTTCTAAGGGTCACCTCACTTCTTTTGTGTGCAATACTATGACACAATGGTGTGAAAAGCTGAATTGCTATATTACTCAGACAGCTGTTTTTGGAGATGCATCCTGTTTGTGATTAGCTGCAGGCACAGTATCGGATTGATATTTGTCTGTGTGCAGATACTAGATTCCATGAATCAGGACAGTGGTATCCCGCTAACTCAGCTCCAAGTGGATGGGGGGATGACGTCCAACAGGCTGCTGATGCAGCTGCAGGCTGACATTCTCTGCATACCTGTTGGTAAGACTTACTGTTTTCTTATTATAGTTTGAAGTGTAAAGTGTGAATGCGAATCAAAGGGGATCAACAGGTACATGCCAGTTCCCTTACTTGGTTACAGGGAAACGTGTTTCCACACTGTGCATATGACAATAAACACTTGACAGTTGTTATCACATAGGATGTTCCATCGCTCTTCATCTTTGGACTGAAGAGTGAGGAAGGATTATTCTTTTCCTGATTGGATATTTATGTGAATAATCTTTTATTCAGGGAGAGGAGGAGAGGCTGCTAACCTCATTTTTCTTCAGTGACACACAAGGCAGAAAATCCCAGTGGGTCAGGTAGATTAAATGTGAGATATTACATAAAATCCACATTCCCTAAAACATTAGAGCTAAAGAATAATTTAATTAATAAATATGACGTTTTAATCACAAGTATTATATATTAATGAATTTGAAAACAGAGTATCAAATAATTATTACACAGAAAACATATTGTCAGTATAATGACTAATGTGAATTTTATTTTATTTATTGCAACACGAAATAACACATTTACAGGACAAAGGACGTAACATAGAAGATGAGACAACAGACATTAACAAAAGAGATAAAGGGATTATTAAATTAAGTTGATGTGTGTGACAAAGTGTGTTCTTCATTGTTGTGTGAAGTTTGGTGTTGCTCGGTGAAGGGTGAGGCTTTGTGAGGTTATTGTAGCTCTAGGTGATGTGTATGTAGTGTTTTCATTCAGTGGATAAAAGACTCTCCAAAATCAAACCTTCGTAGTGTGCTGATGAGAAAATGTGAATAATGAACTCTGGGAGTGATCACACTGGTTCTTCCACATAGTCCTGACACCCAGTGCAGCCCTCAGTACACTTAGCTGACATCACTGTGCGGTGCAGACATACAAGATGTATGATTAACATGAACATTGAGCATGTCAACATAGCAGTCCTTTAGCTTATAGATTGTCACATCAAACGGCTGTAGTGGTGTACTGGGTATCCCTCTGCCCTGCTGGTGCTGTGTACAATATGTTGTTTACGTGCCAAAGTGTAGTCCTCTTCAAAACTACCCCCAATTCTTTCCAGACTGTCTCTAAATTGCAAACTACTACTGCTAATAATAGGAGGTAAAGTGTCCTTGAACACAGTCAGAAATATTCTGACCTCTAAAACTTGAGTCATTTGTTGTTTTCAGTGAAGCCGTCCATGCCAGAGACCACAGCGCTGGGTGCTGCAATGGCAGCGGGAGCAGCAGAGGGGGTGAGCGTGTGGAGCCTGAACCCAGAGGACCTGAGTGAGGTCACCTCAGAGAAGTTTGAGCCTCAGATCAACCCTGAAGGTGCAGCGATCTGCAGAGAATGATGATAATCTGTTTGCTCAGCTTGGCCGTTGTTAAAATACAAGGTGTTTCTGTTGATGTGCTTTGCAGAGAGTGAGCTTCGGTACGCTCGATGGAAGAAGGCAGTTCAGAAATCCATGAACTGGGAGACAACAGAGCCAGTTTGTAATGGAAACGGTAGGCAGGAGCACACTGACACTGGAGCCAAAATTCAGCCTCAGAACAGACTTTAAACCCTAGAATATATATATATTAAAGGTTAAGTTCACATACTTTGAAGTGCCCATATGCATGATGAAAGGATTATTTGTAGCTAACACAAAATGCATTCCAATCTTGAACCAAAGCATAAAGCTTAAGGAGTCTGATACAGTCAGATCAAGTGGGCATCTTCCAGAGTTACAGTATTGTTAGTACCAGATGCTATGATTGCTGTGGAACTATCCTTTAAATGCACAATGCTGCAGGCTGTCCTATATCATGCTCAGGACTTAATCTGCAAGTACAGGATGTTTCTAATCGTCCAGCTGTTAAAGGACCGACAGACAAAACTTGCCAAATAGTGCTGATGGTTTCATGGAACAGTGCAGGTCGTTTATTTTGGATTCTTGTTAACTGACTGTTTCTCTCTCCCCTCCTCTGCGATGCCTTTGGTGGCTGCCTTGTTTTTTTTTTTTTTTTTTTGGACAACCAAAAGGTGAAACTAGTATCTTCAGCAGCGTCCCCCTGGGCTTTTACGTCATGGGCAGCATGTTAATGTTAATTGGTGCAAAATACATTGCAGGTCAGTGTCTGTATCAGTGATTTTGAGTTGGGGATGACTTGGTAATAGTTTTATTAATAAAAAAAAATTCTATGCACAATGATAAAGCATCAAGGGATTAATTTCTTAGTATTGTGTAGTTTCTCAAAATTTATAAAATGTTCTTTGTATATAAAAAAACAACAACAAATGGTGGTCAGTATGAATATGCTATGAGTGTTCCAGGAACTTGTCACACCTGCTACTGTATGTTTCAGTCATCCTAAAAATATCTTGGTACAAATCCAAGTATTTGTCATGCAACTGAGCTAATTACTGTTACAGTAGGTGAGTTTTTAAGTATCACTGATACTGGTGTTATTCAAATCTATGTTTACAGCAGCGATGCTGAAGTACATCAACCCTTCTTCAAATGAAACCACTCTTTCTTTATTTGTTCCTCATTAGGCCACAACTAGGGCCAGAGGCATTGGAGCGAAGAGTGGCAGTGGAGACAAATGGCGTCATGCTGGACCACCTCCTGTCCTCTTGGTTGCACAGACATTCCAGAAGACAGATGTTCCTGTTGAATCTTCGTGCTCACCAGAAAACCCAGACAAGTTTGAACTGACCTTCAAATATTGTTTAATTCTTGCTTTTTTGTCTGCAACAGACAAGAACGCATTAGACTTGAATTTTAGCAGGAATATGCATGCAGTATATATTTTTTGTTCCTTTTTTTTTTTTTTTTTTACAGTGGTGATATAGGAACACTGAGCTTGTTTATCTAGAAATCGTACTGATGGTAGTTCAGATCTGTGTTGCATTAATGTTTTAGTCACTTCACTGTTACCCCTGAACAGCCATCTTGTGACGTTTGTCTGACACTTTCCACTATGAGCTACGGAAGAATTTTTTAGAGGACTTTATATATTTTTTGTGTCGTGGTTGCTGTGCACGAACAAGAGCCTGTGTGTATGTATTTTCTACCATTTTGGAATCGAGACAGATTAAGGAAGTTTAAGTTATTTGTGGTGACAAGATGGTTCTTTGGTAAAGTCTGGAATGCTTGTAAACATACTGTACAGTAAAGGGCAGTTTTTGGATCCCTGTGTTGTATGAAAACACAGGGGTCAACAGGCACATATCTGTGTATGTTTCTGTGAATTGGACAGTAAAACATGTCCCACAGCTAGAAACCAACAAAACGTGTTATGGCACAAATGCTGAAGCAGCTGTTATCAAGTCATTTACTGTGTAGAAAACGTTTGTTTATCCCAGGAAGCTGCTTCATTCCATCTGCACACAGCTTCAGTTTTTAAGATGTTTCACTGTTAAAACATCCTCCTCTGTGTGACTGGGACAGTAACTGACAGCTTCCTCAAAACCTTTAAATTGCTCCTCTGGTCACAAGTCTTCTGGGTTTTTCCTCATTTATCAGGGGAAACTACTCACTTGAGTGAGACAGAACAGGTACTTCATTTAAGAAATTAGTCTTTGCACTTTCTAATCATGCATTTTTTTATTTAAGTGTTCAGTTCATGGAAGGTATGAAATTACTTTCCCTAGTGGATATTTATGAATAAATTGAATCTGCAGGAATCTTATTTAATAAATAAAAGTAGTGTACAACCAACAGTCACCAGAAAACTGTGACTGTGCCATGGTTATTTTTAACAAGGAAAACCTGTCACCACCCTTTTGTTGTCATGTGTGACTCCCTCACAGTGGAACATATTTGTATTCTTGCTTCTGTTCAAGTTCTTAACACAATGAAGGCTAATTTAACTGCAGTTTTGAAGTTTCAGATGTATTGACCTTTAAAGGTTTGGGTCTGAGGAGGAACTGATAACAGCAGGCACGTGTGTGTGTGTGTGTGAGATGTATAGAAAGCGGTTTTTACAGGAGAATAAATGTCATTGAAAATGAACTTGGGCTTGACTTTTCCTGTTGCACTTTGGTTTTACATTTTGCAAACAGAAGTACGTGGAATGAATGAATGAATTTCAGTCTGTATAACTATACATATTTGACAAAAAGCCATACTTCCAACCATTTTTAATAAGACACAAAGAACAAACAAACTAGAAAACAAAAAAGAAAATGTCACAGATCAAGCTGGTTGATATATTAAAATGTGGCTAACAACAAACCACCTTTCTGTTTAAAATGGAATCTGAACCAAGGAAAGAAATCTCGTGGCCCGTTAGATGTTTCTTAGTAAACATTGCTGAGTTGCTGTGCAGAGGGCAACATTTTTAACCATGAACAGAACTTCACAGCTCTACCAGTTCTCACGATTTGTGAGTTTCTTCAGTGGCTTTTTAAGAACTTTCCAGTCATTAGACAAACAAGTACTTCTGCAGTTGGGCTAAACCCAGACACAGCATTCCTTTTGTTATGGGGAACTCCTGACAAGCAGGAGTTCTTACCAAGGGAGTGGTTTGTGCAACAACAAGTGCAAGTTACACAATTCTTTTCATTTGAGGAGCAGGCTTCATCCTACAGCTGTTCCAGTAGTGCCAGGCAGCCTGACCTGTAACAGGTGTGCAACACTTTCTGTAAAGAGGGAGTACTTTGTATTTATTAACAAATTCTCATTCTAAAATGGAAACAAAAATGAAGATAGTAAAACACTTTTTTAATTATATAAGCTGCTTGATGCATAACTAATAGGAGATATTTGTTTATATACCTAAAACGCTTCTTTTTTCCTCTTGCCATATTGAACATCAGTATTTCAAATTTGTTCTGCAGTTGATTTATAAAAGCCGTATTGTTCAGTAGCTTAGCTTATGTTGGCAGCCAGTCGCTGAGCATATTTGCATATCAACTGACCCTCAGTTTGCTTTTCCATTTGAGGAATGGCCTTCAAACTGTCTGCTCATTTAATATTGGCTTGAATATGCCCCTTTTTTTGCACATAAGGATTTTTGTTTTCTTTCATATATCCTAATATTTTCTTATGTTATATTTGAATCAGCTGGAAATTTACTGTAAACCTTATGTGAAAAACCTTTATTGTAACTATCTAACCAAATCGACCTTTATTTTGAAACGTCTCACCTTAGGAACGCCATCGACCAGAAAGCTGTTCCAAGCGTGAGTCATTTGGTGTGGTGTCAGTTCCTCACAGTTCCTCCTTTGTGATTTTACGGTAAGAAGCACAAAGGTCCAGCCCAGTGAGCCAGTCGTACATGTTTTAATGTTTGTTTTTTTCACACCAGAGTGCAAAGAGTTCACAGCCATTTCCCATTTCAGGTGTGGCAGAGAAGAGTGACTTCATTTCCATTTGGACTTGTGTGTTAATAAATGATTCCTTAACATGTTGGATTCAAGAGGGAATGACACCAGAGGAAACTACTTTCTGTTAACAGGACCCAACTTCAGTGAGAACAGTGAAGGTCAGTTTTTCTAATAATGATAAACCAGTTTCACGAGTATGGAATTCTAGCATTAAACACTCTAATTGTCTTGTTGCTTAACATTTATGTCCACCTGTGTTGTTTTCAAGACACTGGAGAGAGAGAGAGTCCACCAAGTTGCTTTTGTGCGTTGATTTTTGTCAGACTAAGACTTAACAGCATGACAAAGTACTTTCTTCTAGCCAACCTTGTGCTTATCTTAAAGCAGTTATTTACAGTTGGCTTTTTAGCGAAGTTTAGCCCTAGGTGGGACCTCTGATGATTTATATTTCATTTATGACAAACCTCTGATGAAAGCTTTTTTTCCTTCAGACTTTAAGCAAAATTGCTTTAATTAATTGTTTTTGTGTCTTTCAGGTGTTCTCATCACTGATCCCAGGCCACCAGGATACATTCCAACTATGCACCACAAGAACGTGTTGAAAGAACTGTTAATGATGAGACGCCAGGTATTTTAACAGTGAACATGAAGACGTTTAACATGTTTTATAGCAGGAGTTGGATTTCCCAGAAAATGTTGCTTTCAAGTTTTTGAGATGGTGAAGGGAAATGTGTAGATCAGTGTTTAGTTTTGCTTGGGAGTATGAATAAAAATGTGAGTTTCTTGATAATGAGGAAGAAGTGAACATTTCTCCACTTCACTGATATAACAGAAAGCAAGGTATGCCATCACCAGTATGCAAATCATTTAAATCCAGTTCCAAAGTAGGTGTGTTTGGTACGAAAACAGACATTGAGATAACCAAACTTGCGTAAAATAACTCATAAGTTGAGCTGTAATAACAATTTGGACATGATTCTCTTTCAGAAATGGAACTGCTCTCACGAGGACAACAATCCAGAACATAAACTTAAATCTGCAAAACTTGACATGAGTCCTCATCAGATAGAGACGCCACCATCAGTGAACCCAAGCACCACCTGCCATGTCCCTGCTCTTGCTCCTGAAAATGAGCACAGTACCCTAAAACAAATGCAGCATTCTGTTCTGCTGGGACCAATGGCTCCGACTGCTGAAGTCAAAATGACTTTATTTCACTGGCAGATACAGCAAGAGGCACAGAGAGTGGAAGGGGTTTCTCCTGAGTTGTTGAACATGCAAGATGCTGACGGTGACACGTATGTATTGACAAAGAAGGGTGTAATTTAGATGTGACCCCCAACCAGGGGTCATTAGTTAATGTATAATAAACACTAAGCTTCCCTTGAACCTGAAAGGGTGTGAAAACAATGTAGAAAGCAAACAGAGAAGTTAACAAAAAGGATAAATAGTGGAAAAAGATTAAGTGATTGATAAGTGGTTGAAGTAGTAAGCCAAAAATAATATATAAACAGTAGGAACAGCTAAGCTAACTAGCCATACAGCTGCAATTGTTCTGACTGATGGATGAAAAACTGTTAGCTAAAACACAGACAGTGCATGGCTAAAAATAACGAATTAACAGTCAGCTGTTTCCCCCCCGACTTTCAGATTTCTTCACATTGCTGTGGCACAAGGTAGACGGGCTCTGGCTTATGTGCTTGCTGCAAAAATGGCCATATGTGGCACTCTGGATGTGAAAGAACACAACGGGCAGGTACAAACACTTAAAGTTGTATGTGGACCCTTAAAAAGTGCTAATGCCTAATATTTATTGGCTTTGTGCACCCTACTCTGCACACAGACAGCTCTTCAGATAGCAGCTGCCACCGATCAGCACTTAATTGTCCAGGACCTGCTGGCACATGGAGCACAAATCAGCACTCGGGACTTTTGGGGCCGCTCGCCTTTGCATGTGTGTGCCGCCAAGGGTCACTTTCTCAGTCTTCAGGTAACAATCAGTACAAGCTAAATATAGTGTAAGTGTCATTGATTCAACTTGAAAACAAGTTGATGCAGCATAATGATGTGGACCTTAATCGGTAATACTGGCTCCTTTGGTGAAGATCAGAAAGATCCAGAAAAACAAGCTTGCTGAGTCACTGGGTCATGTTTTTACCCACTGTGAAGGTTTAGCTTGTAATGTGCAGCTCATCGGCCTTGTTAATTTGTAACTGAACGTTAACTGTTAATGTGGAACATGCCTGTTATGTTATTCCTACCAAATGTTTGACACATCACATGACTCAAAAATTAAAAATAAACCTGACCATTAATCCATATCCTGCTTATGTCCCTGTTGACTCTGTGACAAATTAAATCAAAGTTAAACTTTGACTAAAGAGTGATATTTGTCTTGTAATAATACCTCTGTATAATGATATCTTGAGAACATTTGTAGCCTAGTTACTTGTTTGAGATTCAAGATTGTTTACTGTGCAGTAATATATTTTTTTTTTTTAGAGCCCTCAGTGGAGGTGGGCAGTCAGTTGATATTGAAATGTTCAATTACGATGGTGAGTATATTCTATTTTACTGAACCTGTTGTGATGCTAATATGAAATGTCTCAGTGAGTAAATGCCAGTGTTCTCTGTTACAGGCTTAACTCCACTTCATGTAGCAGTCTCCTCTCACAATGCTGTTGTTAAAGAGCTGAGGACCCTGGAAAAACCTTGTCTATATGAGGCCACGAAGGTGGAACAGAGGAGACGAATGTATGTTGAGTGCGTTAAGACTTTTCTGCTCATGGGCGCCGCCTGTGGGACAATGGTAACTATTACAGCTATTGGACCATGTTTTAGTTTTGCACTTTGAAACATGTTTCAGAATTCTCTTAAATGATTTTTGTTAAAGGACTATGTTGAAAAAAATGTTGAAGATTGACACAGAATAACTCGTGCTGTTAAATGGCTTTTTACAAAGGCCATAACACTTTTGCATCTGCTTTAAGTCTATGGTCTCTTCTTGTCTGATAAACCTTTGAACGGTGTATTTGCTCAAAGTGTGACCGACCAGCTTATGAAGGCAGAAGACAGCCAGTGACAGGCTTCAGTGTCAGGGTGTTACCCATGTAGAACCCGTGTAGCTTCTGATTACGTAGTCTGAGCTACACACGCTTGTGTCTGCACTACAACATGCAACATTACAGCATGTTATTCACATGTTTACAATGAAGAAGTGCCTGTTTCTGAGCTCAACTACACAAGCTCTGTTTTTGCTTTGCTGACTGCACCTGACTAGAACCTGGAGTGCAGGTGTTTTTTGAACAATGGATGAATTCATAGCAGACGTGGGTCAAATAAGGCACAAACCTCTTAGGTTTCCTTTGTTTTGTGCTTAGTTTTTTCATGCTAGGCTAAAACTAAATTTAAATGTTAAAGTCCTGATTACGAATTCAGCTGTTAAGCTTGTTTTTCTAGAGATTACAAAGCCATGTAGTCCCAACTGAAACTCCTTATTATTAGTGTCACTATTATCTCCCAGAAAGGTTGCAAAATGACCTGGTTTTCACACAGTTTGTTTTTTCATTGCTGCAGGATCTGAAAAGTGGACGCACTTGTCTTCACATGGCTGCTGAGGAGGCAAATGTGGAGCTGTTGAAACTGTTCCTTGACCAGTCAACTTCGCTGTCCATTGTAAATGCTAAGGTGAGTGGTTTTGTTGTTGCCTAGGCTATTCTGACATTGTGTGACATACTACACTGAAGTAAAAATAAGTTAGCTGTCTGTAAATTAAACTGTTTAGTTTTTAGCATATATCAAACTGGTGGCATGAAGAAAAATACTTTTGCACGTCTAGACTGACAGTTACAGTAAGTGTTTATAAAACTTCATGAGCTGCATGTAGTGTGCAATTCCCTGTGTATTTGTTTCAGACATTCAGTGGGAACACTGCCCTACACATTGTAAGCTCTTTGCAAAACCATACAACTCAAGTGGATGCGCTGAAGCTGCTCATGAGAGGGGGAGCTGACCCCGGGGCCAGAAACTTTGAGAATGAGCTACCGTCTCAGCTGGCACCTGAAGGACCCACTGGTAACAAGGTAGGGTGTGAATGATAACTGAGAGGCCTCTGAAAACACACTAGTGCAATGCAATTCTTGTTGCATAACAGGAAAATAATCACATTATCTTGCAAAAACGTTAATAAAAAGGCATTGTTTACCCACAGCTGAATTATCACTTCTGCTGTTTGCAGTGAGAAAAACCTAACCACTTAAGATGATATGAGTGGTTATAATGTGAGTTTTGTCTTTTTTTTCAGGTGCGGCAGATCCTAAAAGGGAAACATGTTGATGTTTAAGTGAAGCTCATACCACTGTCAGTCAGACAGTCCACGCTATCAGAATATTATTTGCCACAAATGAGGCAGATGCTGGTTGTTTCAGTGAAACATGCCAATTGTTCATTACCATGTAATGCTTAAATGAGTGCGTGTGTGTTTTTGTGTCTGTTTTTGCTGTTACTGTTGCATTCTAATTGTTTTGGGCATTAAGACGCAACTTTTGGATTCAGGGACAATGAGCCATCATGTTCTGGACAATCTCAAAACAGGTTTTTAACATTTATGGAGGAATTATGGGTTCAGATGATGAAGATTTTTAATTTAGTGTGAAATGATTTCACTGTTATACCCTCTTGATATGTTTAATGATCACTTGGGCTACTTGGAATATAAATGGAGTGCTGTATAACATTTAACATGTTATATGAGTGTCTATTCAGCCATGTGAATGGTGCCGCATTTTAAATAAGGGAATGTGTCAGGTGCAGGACAATGCCTTGAACCTCTGTCTGTGCTGTGAATCCCACACCCCAACCTATCAATAAAATCATAGTATAAATTACTCATTGTCAAGGTCATTCAAAGGCCCACTTCCAATAAAGGCACAGAGTAATATCTTCACCGAGAGAGATATTATCACAATGTGGTATAACAGAGATTCCAAATTTAATAATCAGCTAAATTCTCAATGCACATGAGCAGCTTTACTGGGGTTGTCCTGCACCAAATTAATAAAACATCGCACACCATAAGCTGCACAGTGTGAGAAAGTGCAGAGAAAAATTTGGATGATCTGTCCGTCCTGCCCTTGCCACCTTCAGCAGAGGGTCAGACTGTTGTTAAAAGACTCACATGGACACAGAGGAGGATTGGAAATGGATGTGCCATAAGCACCAAACTCCGTGCATATGATCCTAACACTTTTTACATTTACTGAAGTAATATTTTGAAGGAAGGACTTTTACTTGTAACACAGTAGCTTTCCACTGATATTGCTACTTTTTTGTTAAACAAACTGAGTAACACTGGACTGATTGATATCATACTCGGTTTTATGAGACATGCCGTGCTCACTGTAAGGAACTGTGCCTTACATGAGACAAAAAAAAAAAAGATACTTGGGAACTTTTCAGATAAAAAATGTAATGATGTCCTCCTTTTATTATGTACAGATTGCAAGAATATGTGCAGTGACATTTGTTTTAATTCTAGTTGGTTTATACATTCTTGTTTTGTTGTTGTTGTTTTTAGTCTGCAAGGTTTGAAATCAATGTAGGCTGCTGCTGTTCTAATTTTTATTATCTGATGTGTAAAAGGGCTTGTATATATGTATATGTATATATATAAAAGGCAGGTGTTCCTGTAATTTTTAGTTAGGTTAAAAAAAGAAATTAAAAGGAACAATTGATTGATTCTAAAAACAGCTGCTGATCATTTTTTTAATCAATACACCGACCACAAAAGTACCACAATTTATTAAGCATTATGGATATTACAAAATATGTACACTTTGTTCAGAGTTTTTGAATGTGTCAGTGCATTTTTATAGACTCCTCCTGAGCCAGAAAACATTTTAAAAAATTGTTGAATTTATGGAATTAACCACTGTTATTGTATGTTTTATTTTGGGGGCTTTTCATCCGAATGTAAGAATGAACTAGGAATCTTTATCAAGAAAATAAACACCATCTACATTTTAAAAAGGAATAAGAAACATGCCTTTGATTTAAAATGATTAGTCTAGTTTCAGTGAATATCATAAATGTGAAATAAAGCACAAAAAGTGGAGTTTGAAAAGTTCTAGGAGACATGAGAATTTCCCATTTAGCAATCAGTCTCTTCACTTAATTTCTTTCGAGTCACTTGCTTCCCTCTCTCTTGTTCTTCTACTCTGCTGTAACACTGAGTGTGGCGCTGCTCTTGGCCTTGCCCATGGTAAACTTGACTGTCCCACTCATGTCCACGCTGGTGTTTTTCAGGGTGAGTTTGTGGACTGGCCCGTGGGTTTCCAGGTGGACGCAGGGGCCTGGAACAAGAGTCTCTCCATTCAAAGTCCAAACAGGAGGCTTGTTTATGGCAACAGACAGCTCACACTGGAACGATGCTGACTCTGGCTCCATCACCTCCATGTCTTCTAGCTCTCTGACCATCACAAGGGCCTGGGCTGCAGCAGCACCACGGCAGAGAAGTACGTAGGAAGGAAAGTAAGAGAGAAGTAATTTTTACCTGTTAGTATTGATTTAAAAAAAATCATACCCAATCACGCTTGGTACTTTTGTAAGCTGGAGAATAAAAATAGTGTAAAACAAGTCCTTAGCTCTCCATCCCACTTACTTTCCACCATCAGTTTGGCTTGGGACGTGTGCTCCCCCACCTCGATACTGTAGGTGCCTTCGTCCTCCACAGCCACCTGCTGGATCACCAGTTTATGAGAGCAGCCATCAGCCAAAATCTCCACTCGTTCTGAAGAAACCAGCTCCTCTCTGCCCTTGTACCAGGTGGCACTGTAATGAGGAGAGGAAACGGTGCACTCCAGGATCACACGGTGTTTCTCCAGGGCTGTTCGGTCTCGCAAGGGTTTCACAATCGAAACAGGAAGTTCTGGAGTGAGAGGAAAATTTGCAAGGTTGGATATGGGCCATTTTTAAACTGTTAATATGCCAAAGAAAAACACAAGTAAAATATTCTAGATGTGCAAATGGGCTTACCTTCTACCTCAAGGTAAGCTGTAGATTCAATATCTCTGGCTACAAAGCGTACCTCTCCAGCATCTTCAGCTTTAACATTACACACCAGCAGGAAGTGTTTGGTCCCTGGAAGAGAACAGAAATGTTCGTTCTTCCAGATAAATGAGTGGAGAACAAACAAATACAGATACAGTACCTCCTAACAGTGTACAAGAGGCTGCTTTATGATTTAATGAGTGTTAAAGGCTCTTCCATCCCCTACTCGCCCACCAGAGATCCTCCTACATATATAGTAGTCAACAAGTTTTTGCGGACATTTCAAAAAGGTTATTCACATATTTTCAAATGTTTCCATTTGATATTCCTTATCTTATGATGCGTGATGCTTATCTTCTCTATTCCTAAGTCTTCATATTTATATTTTCCTTATATTTTCCTCTTTGCACCTGATTCTACCACCTACTGAATAGAGGTTGGACTTTGCCAGTCACTGAGTTCACTGTGGAAAGTATTAACCAGAATGTGTGTGCATGCAATTTTTCTGCAAATGATAACGTGGAAACTCTAAACTTTACTTTGCTGTAGGTGATCAAGTTTGTTTAATCCCATCAGTAACTAATCCCTTCATTTTCTGACCTTCAGTGCGGATCTTGATGGTGCTTGTGGGCCGGATCTTGTGACCATCTTTGTACCACTCCCCAGTCACATCATCGCGAGAAACCTCACACATGAAAACGGCATTCTGGTCCTCCTGGATGTAAAGATCCTCCAGATCCTGCACTATCTCCAGCTTGTGCTCTGTGAGGTTAGTAAAGAGATTGAGATCTGATTGTTAGGTGGATATTAGAAGCATCGTCTTTTGAAAATTTGTTGACAATTTAAGCTTCTTCAAACTGCTGGGTGGATGTATAGTATAGGTTCAGCTTCAGCTTTTTCACTGGCTACACAAAATTCAACTTGAAATTTAAACTATCATCACAACTGTAGACTTTCCTATCATTGTATGTTGCTTTAATGGTTTTAATATTTTATATGTTATATCAGTATGTGCTCAGATAGTTACCATAAACCTCCAGTGAACAGGAAGTGCTGATTTCCCTTGTGTCACATGTGTAAGTGCCAGAGTCAGCAAGGGAACACTGCAGGATCTGACAGAACCGCTTCCGACCCATGGAGTAGACCCGACAGTTCTTCCCTGGCTTCAGCTCTGTGCCATTCTGAGATGCAAACGGATGGAGGTAACTGCACGAGACTAAACCTGTTGCTATCAAATCTTGCTTTTTTAACATGCATTGAGGGCATTTATTTGGTTTGTGTTACCTTAAGCCATCTGACTTCAATGTTGTGTCTGGAGAATTCACACTCCAGAGTGGCAGGAAGACCCTCCTCCACATGGGCGTCAGCCAGCGGTCTCAGGATTGAAACTGGTGTCTCTGTCAGTTCAGTCAGTGAATCAACAAGTCAGAAGCTTAATCAATCATTCATAGTTGTTTTTCTCTGGACATTTCCAACGTCTGTTTGAGCACTTTTACATTGCAATCAATTTTGCTTTATATTTGCTTAGCTTTGAATTGAAAATGACACTGACTGAATACTGTTACAGTTACAGAATGTAAAAGAAAAACTTGAGGCATATTTGGTTTCATTTTTAGCACCACTATCTTCCTCGTGTACGCAGTAGATTGAATAGTTTTATGATGCAAAATCTAAAACCACAGAGACTTAATAAGAGAACTCTTTTCAAGGTTTAGCTCAGTGGCCTGAGTGTGTACCTTTAACCATTAGATGACCTCCACTGAACCCACTGACCTTTACAGACCAGCAGTTACCTTTGACTGTGAGTCTGGCAGTGGTGCGCAGCCCTTCAGCTGAGAAGACAATGGTGCCTGTGTCCTCCAGGGTGAGGTTGGACAGGGTGAGGCTATGGATTCGCCCATTGGTGCTCATCCGCCATTGGTTGTTGGGTTTCATCCTGATGCCGCCTTTCTGCCAAATTCCCTCCACATCTGTGTGAGACAGCTCCACCTCGAAGGAGGTGGTCTCTCGTTCAAAGGTTTCTTGGTCAGTCAGGCCTTTGCGGATGGAGATTTTACGGGCTGGATTGGACGAGAAGAGGCAGAGTATTGTTGTGAGAGGAGAGTGGTACATACGGTTCCTACTACTAGTATCAGGATGAAATGATACAATTGAGATATTCAGAGAAGATACATCAGGAATTCCCAGTTCTTGGGTGAAATATTAAAAACCTGGTTAAAATTTGGGGACTGGAACATTTTGAAATAATTGCATGCTAAATATGGTGAATCACACTGTACTAATGTATAGCCAGTACTTTTGCTGTATATAGAAAGAACACTGTTTCTAAGAAAACAAATGGTAGTTCAAATATACTGTAGCTCAGTTTATCACATTACAGAAGCAACACTACAGGAGCTTCGCGGCCTATTGTCACAGTGTCATTCAGCCCTTTATTGTGCAACTGCACGACTGTATTTCAAGAACCTTGTCCCACTTACAAGTGGTATTCTTACCGCTTGCAATGTGACACTGAAATTCACCTACACTACATACTGTTTGTTATCTGCTCAGAACTGATCAGTGTCAGGTGAAATGCCATTCACAAAGTGAATGAACCTCCTGCTTAGAACCACCTCCATGCCAAACTCCTGAATCATTTCTGCTTATTAAACCTCAGACCACTTACGTTCTACATTGAGTTTGACCTGCGCCCGGTCATGCAGAGTCTCACAGCGGTAGGTTCCCCGGTCTGACAGAGTCAGGCTGTGGATGGTCAGGCTGCGTTTACAGCCGTCCTGGGCCAGTGTGTGTCGGGGACCAGGCTGGATGACCACCCCTTGCCTCATCCACTGGACTTCGCCTGTCTCCAGGCTGATCTCTGTTTCCAAAGTGGCATCGCCAAACTCCTCTGCTATGACAGCTTCCATTTTCTTGGTAAACATGACCTGAGCCTCTGAACATTTGTGCAGAGACAGAAAAAGGTTCACAATAAACTGCATCTCTGCAACTGATGATGCTGGTAATGCATAAAAAATTTGACAGTTTACAGTAGCTTCACTTTCCCCTTCAATTAATTGTCTTACCTTGAACTTTGAGGCTGGCTTTGCTTATTTTACCCTCGGCCTCTGCTGTAATCTTTGAACAATCCAACATCTGGCACTTGTTAATCACCAGCGTGTGGCACAGGCCATTCTGGGTTGCCTGGAAACGGTCACCCAGGGTGATAACCTCACTGTCCATGAGCCAGACCAAATGAACATCCTCAGGTGAAACCACACACTTGAAGGTGGCATCTTCTCCTTCCAGCACAGTAGTGTTGTGGAGCTCAGTGAGGAACTCCACCACTCGAGGCACTGAAGAGACAGAAGAAAGTTCGCTTACCTGCTACCTCACATGAGACAAGACAAGGAATCAAATGTATTTATTCCAGGCATACTTACACTCTACTCTCAGCATTGCTACAGTCTTGTCATCCCTGGACTCACAAACATACTCTCCAGCATCCTCTCTGGTTAAACGATGGATGGTCAGGCTTCGTTCCACTCCATCTGCTCGAATGGAGAACCTCCTGCTTGGAACCACCTCCACGCCGTTCTTCAGCCACTGGACATCTGCTTTTGGCTTGCACACCTCACAGTGAAGAGTCACCATACCATCAGCATGAGCTACAGTTTCTCTCAGTGGCTTTGTAAACCTGATTCTCATTTCTATGATGCAAAATAAAAACTGTTAATATGACTTTTCAGTGTACATTGAAGTGTTATACACTGTTACCAGATGACAAGATTAACTGAAAGTTTAACCTTTCACCAGCAGGCTGAAGTGGATCTGGTCTGTGTTGACATCACAGGTGTACTCGCCAGCATCAGAGCGCCTCAAAGGCTCAATAATAAGTGTGCGCTTACGGCCTTCCATGAGTGTTCGGAAACGTTCACCTTCAACGGGTGTCCAATCTTTCAGCCAACGCACTAGAGCACTTTCCTTGGACACAAAGCTTGTCAGGGTCACGCTCTCTGCTTCATAACCTGTCACGACTATGTCATCCTCCTTGTTAACAAATTCAACTGGAGGCTCTTTATTGGAAAAGAAAAGAGAAGGCTCATTAGCAACCTTTTTTGTCGTTTTTTTTTTTTTTTAGAGATTCTGGATACCTGTACCCTGGCTTTGTACCTTGAATCCGGACAACACTGATCATCTTGTCACCCACAGCGTCACATACATATTTCCCTGAATCTGAGGGCTGGACATTTGAGATGATAATTTTCCTCAGAGTGCCGTAGCTCTCAATGTTGGTACGGCAGTCATTGGTGAGCAGCCTGTCATTGCAGTACCACTGGACAGGGGCACTGGCACGGGACACATCACAGGCCAGGATCAGGTCATCACCTGCCACCATCTCCTGGTATTCAGGGTCAGGTGAGTTTCCTACAATGGTCACTGGAGGCTCTGAGGGCAAAAGAGGTGGAATACAGGAGTCAAATTTGGAACAATTTTCTTTAAACAGTAAACTCAACCAAATGAATGTTACCTTCTACCGTAACCTGGAAGCTGATATTGTCATCTCCAGCATCCAGGAAGTACTCTCCTGAGTCTCCAAGTTCAGCACTGAGGATGACCAGTGAGCGGAAAGTGCCCTCCTCCTCTTTGCAGAACCTTTCATTGCCATCAACACGATAACCATCCTTATACCAACTGGTGACCGCACTGGCTCTGGAGAGTTCACACTCCAGCACAAGGTCATCAGAAATCAGGCACTTTGGATTTGTCTTGATCTCTGACTTTCTTAATATTGTCACTGGAGGCTCTGAGGATATAGAATTACATACTGACACTCAACATGATGTTATGGTGGATTTTGAAATTGCTTTTTGAGCCAGAAATCATCTCCAAAGCCAACTTTTGCCTCTTACCTGAAACTTTGACCTGGAAATCAATTTTATCATCAATAGCATCACAGGTGTATTTCCCTGAATCTGCTGGAGTAGGAGAGTGGATGGTCAGACGACGGATAAGCCCGTCTTTTCTGATGGTAATGTTTCTGCTCTCCACCATTTCTCTGGAATTTAGCCACCATTTCACTTCTGCATTTGGCCGGGACACCTCAGTCTCCAGCACGATTGGTTTGTCAGTAAAGATCTCTAGTTTGGCAGGTGTGCTTTTGGAACGATTGAGTGTCACTGGCGGCTCTGGTGGAACAAATTCAAAAGGAATCCAAAAAAACACAAAATACAGAAATTATATACAGTTCTATTATTAGTAGTAGCATTTATCTACTTGCTAAGCATTTATCTTGATGTCTCTTTTCTTACCAGTAATAGTCACCAAGAAGGTGACAGAGTCGTCTTCAGTGTCGCAAACATAACCCCCGGTGTTGTCCTCAGTGGTCATGGGGATAACTAGCCGGCGCTGGGCCCCATCCACCTCCAGGATCAAGTTAGGGCCCTCCTCTACCTTTAGGCCATCTCTGTACCAGCAAACAGGGGCATCTGACTGGGAGATCTCACAGCTGAGCTCCAGCCTCTCTGATGCCAACTGGGTAATTTTCAGCTCTGATTCAGTAGGGGAAATAATTCGGACTGGTGGATCTAGAGAAAATATAGGGGAAATGTAATCTTATTTAAGCATTTTGGTGTCTTTGAAAGACTTAGGAGACTCCACACATTTTTAATTGAAAAACAGCAGAATCAGAGGTGAAAACCTTTGATGGTGAGCTGGAAGAAAATAGAGTCTCCGTCTGTTTCACAGACATACTCTCCACTATTCTCGATTGATCCACAGAGTATGGTCAGCTTCCTGTAAGGACCCTCAGACGTCAGCTGGATGTTGTCACTCTCCTCCACCTCCTCGCCGTCCTTGAACCACAGCACCTTTCCACTGGAGCGGGACAATTCACACTGCAAGTGGATTTCTTCTGAGATGTATCTTTCCATAACAATATCATCCTTGGGTTCCACAATCATCACTGGAGACTCTGTGTTTGTGGATAGTGGAATGAGGTTAGCTCATGTTTTTAATCTGGCTAGTGTGTGTGTAAATACCACCCTTAATGTCATCTCCTTTATGAATTCACAAGCACACTGTCAGATCTATGTGATTTGACAGGCATCTCAGATCAGCAGAAGTCAGGAACCTGACCTTTTACACTGACAGTGAACTCCATGCTGTTGTTTCCTGCCTGGCATGTGTAATTCCCAGCATCTGAGGTTTCTGCAGAGCGGATGATTAACCTCCTCATGGTTCCCTCTGCCTGCAAAGTGATGTTGTTATTGGGCTGGATCTCACAGCCATCCTTGTACCTGGGACACACCAAATCCAAAACAGACAGCTATAAAACAAGGGTCTTAAATAAGATGAGGTAGGGAGGATATGTTTGATTAGTCATACTACATCTGAAAAACAACACTTCATAAACAGAATAATTGAAGACAGCAATAAAAAAAAGAATTTAAAATTGGGGCAAAAAAGAAGCATCATAATTACATGATAACTTTTTTCTCCAACTAAGGAATTCATATTTCATCGACTCACCACACAACTTCGGCATCATCTCTGGAGACATGGCAGACCAGCACCACAGGATCCAGCTCCATGCTTCTCTTATGGAGCTCCTCTTCTGGGACTGGACTGAAGTCTACAGGAGGACCTGCGTGAACAGAGGAGGGAGGGATGGATATCAGTAGCTGGACCACGAAATGCGAGAGTATGAACATGCTTTCAGAACATTAGAAATATTCCCGCTGCAGTTTGGTTAAATCATAAAACCAAACAGCTCTAGGAGATCTGCTAGACTTGATGTCCATTTAAGTTTTCCACAACTACTGAAATGTGCCAGCTTTTAAAAAACCTTTACCTGCAACATCCACGGTGAATTTCGTGACATCCCCTGAAGTTTCACATGTATAAACTCCAGAGTGGGATGCATCAGCGGATTGGATGACAATTCTCCTCATGTTCCCCTCTGATTGGATGTTGATGCCCTCAGTCACTTGGAGCTCCTTGCCATCTTTGAACCAGGATACTTTTGCAAAAAGGTGAGAGACTTCACAGTAGAGCACAATGACGTCACCAGTGTGGACCTTCTTATATCGGTCTGTCTCTGACATAGGATTAAATTTGACCAAAGTAGCTGCAAAGATATAAACACATCAAATAAACAAACTCCAAAGAAAATCATCCATCTTATGCTACATTTATAAGACATCATTTACACCTACGTTGAACCTTGAGCACAGCTGAATCCCGAACTCCATTGGCTATGAACGTGACTTCTGCTGTGTCCTCTGTCCTACAGGTTTCATGAATAATCAGCGAGTGCCTTGTTTGTGTCTGTTCTATTGAATATCGTCCACTGTGCTGCAGTTGAGTGCTATTCAGAAACCAGGTTCCAACCATTGTGGCAGACAGTTCAATGGAGAAGCAAGCATCTTCTCCCTCCATAACTTCACAGTCTTGGAGGCGGTGGCAGATCTTTGGCCCAGGCACTGATCGATACAGAAGTGCAAAATTCAGTGTTCTTTATATCAACCGGTTTTACCTCCTGGCAGCCACTGAATTCCACTCATAACAATGCAGTGAAATTTTCTTATTATAAAATGTGTCAGATGTGTGTGGGTAGCAAAACCTTCCTTGTTGATGTGTTCAACGGTACTCTGTGTTGTGAGAGTTTGGGCTGGACAACAAGATATTTCAGTCATAATACCGTATATGACTCAAATTTCAAGAAAGTCTTTGCATACAGTACAGCTGCATTGCTACATGAGGATAATATAGCTTTAACAAAAAAAGAAAGGCACCTTTTGTTTGTAAAATTGTCTACAGCAATGTAAAGATTTGAGCAACCACTAATAAGTCACTAATATAGTGTTAGAGCTTATCTAATGCTGGATTTCTGAGGCAGTATCTAGAGAAAATTAGGAGGGTACACTTTTGTTTTGTTACACTTCTTAGGCAGATCAGGTTTAGAATGAAATACTGACATATATATAATTCTGTTTGACAATGTGCTACTCACCCAGGTGGACGGCTTTGGGAAACTCCACATGGCCACTTCTTCCATACTTGTTTATGCAACAGACACGGAAGCGATAGTCGCCTTCACAGGGCACGCTGTCACCAGTAACCTCAGCTGAGGTGGCGGTCTCGGAGGTGAAACACTTCTGCCACTCCTGGGAGCCCACTTGTTGTCTCTCCAGCACAAAGATTGAACGCGTGGAGGTCTGGCTGTTGGGGGCAGGAATCCAGGTAAGGAGGATACTGTTGGGACGGTCTACGTCCATTTCAACTCCCACAGGGCAGATAGGGGGGCAGTGTCTTGTGGCTAAAAAGCAGAGAGGAAGAGGATGGAGAATGTGAGTGGAAATCATTACGGCAGGAGGGTCTGGTTAATGGAGGGAACCATGAGGAGATCCCCAGTCATACATAAAGGTACCAAACACTTTAAACCTCGAAACAATCAACTGGATGGAAGACCAAGTTGGAGAGGGTAAATTTAATTGCCATAGCTATTACCTTAAATATAATTTTAATAATCTTAAAGATCTAGCAATAGTCATTTGCACATATAAATGGCAAATGTTCACTAACTGTTCTTGAAAAAGCCATTTGTCTTGTTGAAGTGTGTGATAAGTTCTTGAGCTGTGAAATGCAGTGTGACAGTTTCAGCTGCTGCCTGTAGGACAAAGGGGTAAAATAACAGTTTGCACATTTACAGCTCATTGCATCTGAGAAAAATATCAGATCTTTTGCTAAACAGTCCAATTTAGGAATCGGTTTTCACTAAAGGTACCTTTGACTTTGAGGCGTGATGATGTCTTGGATCTTCCTGCGACAAATGTCACTACCCCCGAGTCTTGATGGGCCACGTTGACGAAGACCAAAATATGAGTTTTGCCAAAAGACTTGAGGATTGTGTGGTGCGTCTCATGTAACTCAAGACCATCTTTGAACCAGTGGACATCTATGTCGTCGTGCTCCACTTCCACACAGAATGCTGCATTCTCACCCTCCAGGACCTCCAGCTTCCGCGGAAGTTTTCGAACAATTTCACCTGTAAGCAATTTGTATTGTAAAGCAAGATTATTGTTATATTTGCTGTTCATACTCCTTCAGTGATCATAATGGGTAGTTTAATATTGAATTCATGAATGTCACCACGCAGGGTTATTTTATCAGGGTTGTTTTGGATGGAGAACTTGACAACTTCTTTTTCTGGAGGAAGTTTTATAATTTTTGCTCTTTAGAAGACTGAAGTTACAACAGCTTATTTCATTTTACAGTTATTACATACAACATACAGGTATCTGTATTCAGTAAAACATACCTTTAACCGAGAGTTCTGCAATGCTCTTTGCTCCATCAGGCATCTCACAGAGATACACTCCATCATCATCTATCCCAACATCCTGGATGGTGAGTCTTCGTCTGGTTCCCTTTTGCTCCATCCCATATTTACTGCTGGGCATCAGCCTCTGGTCCTCCAGGTACCAGGCAGCTGGGACGGACTCGTCAGGGACATCACACTCCAGCACGGCTACATCCCACTCCTTCACCTCTATGTCTTTTAATGGTCTCCTGAACTGCACAGCCGGGCCTCAAGAACAAGAATAGTGGATAGTTACATATCTATTTTACATTATACTTTTTAATTAACATAAATTATAGTTGTACATTTGGGCTGGTTTATAGATTTAATTTTATTGTGCAAGTTAAAACAAAATGGCAATAACATGACTATAACTAGTCATGCTCAATCATGACCCAGACTCTGATTGTAGAAAATGATGTCCATTTTATGTCAACACTAACACCTGAATTTACTATTGGGATGGGAAGTTTTGGTAAATTATCTCTGTTATTATTTTCTACCAAACATCTTGACTTTGTTTGAATGTCTGGTGCCACCGGTGAATATTTTTAAAGCAGCGTTCAGTTGCTGTATGGCCAATTCATAATAAGTGTATTAAGGACTGACATACTGACTGTGGCACCTATGCCAGAGACAGCTGGCATACTGTGGGTTGGTACATTTAAAAGGCAATTTGATCCCAGTTATCTTCCCTTTATGAAGGGATTAGGGAAAAATGATGAATCACTTTAAGAGCAGCTCAGTTCAGACCTAAAGATTGTAATTTATGGAGTAAGATTTAATGATCTGCTGTCAAATGCTTTTAATAAAGCATTAAAAAGAGCAACACATTGTATTTATCCAGAGTGCAGATGTTATCTTCAACTACCCAAATTGCACTAAACTGGCACTTAAGGCTCTTAAAATGTGTTGTGATTTTTGCTCTTGTGGTAAGTTTGATGGGAGATGATTCCCTTCCACTGTTAAGATATTTGTGTGTGTAGCCAGTTAGAGTTGCAGGAAAACTGACTTTTTTTGCACCTACCTTTGACAGACAGGTGAACGGCGCTCAGGGTGTTTCCAAGAGTGTTTGATGCTGCACACACATATAGCCCTGTATCCTGCACTTTACAGTACAGAACTTTCAGTGTGTAGTAGCCCTCTCTGTCCTCAAATATGAGATGACGCCTCCCAGGATCCAGGGGAATCCCGTCTTTCTTCCAGATTATCTCTGGTTTTGGCTTTCCTGTCACAAAGCAACGAAACTTGGCATGTTTCCCCTCTGTCACTCCAAACTTCTTGACTTTAGACACGTTGACAGGTGGCTCTTCTGTGACTATTGGCAAACGGAGCCTCCCGCCTCTGTGCTTTGGTGACCACTGTCTGTTAGCAAGACCATTTGGAGACATTATTTTTGCTTCCTGCTCTGGTGTGGGCTCAATAAGAAGGATGGCGCCGGCCAGAGCCTCACCGTAGCAGTTGATGGCCTTGCAGGTGTAGACCCCCTTGTCTGGCATGCGTGTCCTGTAGATTTTCAGCTGGAACCAGCCACCATCTTGAATGCTCGTGCTGAAGTGTGAACTTTCAAAGATGTCATTCAGCTTTTTTCCATCCTTCTCCCATGTCACCTGTGGCAGAGGAGTGCCCCAGATTTTGCAGGAGAAGGTAGCATCTTCACCCCGGTCCACACGCAGAGAGAGGGGCTTAATAAGAAATTGAGGTTTATCGTCAGATGTTAAATGAACCTCCTCTTGTTTTTCATTAAACTTACTGTTCCACTTCTCTGCATTCATCTCCTCTGCATTTTCTTTCCTGTAGTCATTTTGCACTGTGCAGTAACCATTCAGGTGTCCTTCACATTCTCCATTTTCTTTTACTGATTGCTTCACATCATTAACATCTAATTGCCTTTGTCCCTCTTCCTGTGGTTGCACCTCTCCTTCCACTTTGAGGGTGGCTGCTGCATACGTTTCACCTATGCTGTTTCGAGCCTTGCAGATGTACTGGCCAGCATCCTGTTGGGTCACCCTAGTAATAACCAGCATGTGAGCTTTTCCCTCCTCTGAGATTTTGTAGCGTCCCTCAGAAAAAATCTGGACATTTTTACGCTCCCAGATCACATCAGGATGAGGATCCCCGTCAATCTGGCACCTCAGTGTGGCATCCGTGCCACACTTTGCCACTACAGGTCGTGGGTAGCCCAAAACACGAGGAGTGCCTCCAAAAATATCCATAGTGATATCACCTTCTCTCTGGTTTGTCTGAAGAAATTTCTTGTGTGGTGGAGTTTCCTGGACCCTCTTATCTGTGGTGAGGGAGCTGTGAGACAAAAATGGTTCAGAAGTCAATCAATTCCGTAGAAAGAGACTCAGACAAAACCATGTAAACACAAAATTCCTAATTTATATTGGTTGAAGTGGCATTTTTCTTGCTTTGATTGTTGTGATATTTGGAACCATTTTGGATCAGGAAACTGATTCAGTGCAGAAAGGAATGAATTTTGATATGTTTCAGATATTGAAACACTTGACGTAGTCACCAAAGCTGAACTGAGGTAACATGTTTAATCATGTATTTAACATAGTTAAGTGGGTTCTGAGCAAATAGAAACCACCCTCTGTCCTCTCACAGCTGGTGCTGTAACTCATTGACGAGTGTATTTTTAAAGTAGTCTGTCCAGAAAAGACACCGGAGACCATGTGCCACATAGCGCACAGTCTGTGAGTGACACACCTGCACTCATGAACAAAACTGACGCCATAGAGCGTGAATGTTAGTTGCTGTGTTATTGTCATGTTGTCTGCACCTTTGAGGTCTGTCAACAACCTAAGAATCTAAAGTTCATTTCTTCTTTTCCAGTGAAGACTTCTTGCATTTTTCCAGCTTTTGTTTTGATCTTGTAGCAACCAGTAGAAAACATTGGTCTCTCATATGGTCCACTTTGTCTCTTCATGTACCCACCATCTTTCTTTCGACATTAAAAGTTGTCCCTGCTGATGACGCACCACACGCTTGCATCTGAAGCACATCCTCTAAACAGCATAGATCAAATAGTCATGCGTTCACATTTTGGCTAGAAAATAGGTCCTTGATTCATGTTTCTGACATTTTTTTTAAGACGGTGAGCTTTTTTTGGCATGTGAATAGAAATTATTCTACTAAAGTGGTCCTAAATGTCAAAAACATACATAGTGCAGCTCATAAAACTCACCAAGAATAAAGGATGAACTTACCGCTCCAATAAGCTGCTGTCTTTAGAGCATTCTGTCACACTTATAATGTTTGGTTAAGTTGTTCAAGCTGACATCATTTAATTTATCCGACCTGTGGCTCCTCTTTAAATTGTGATGTTGCTCCACAGAACAGTAATGAAATTCTTTGAGACTCTTCAGTTCCTTGTCTCTCTGGTTTACTTTATTGTTTGCAGACTCTGGCTTACATTTGACACAGCTAGTCACAGGTGTGCTATGCCTTGGTAGTACCCCGTCGAATTGGCGTTAGGTTTGGCAGAGAGGAACGTTACCACAGTGTTCGGTTTATGTGTCAGCCCTTATACTGTCATTGTCCAACAGCTAGAGAGAGATAGAGTTGGAATGGTAGGGGAGGGGGGTAAAATGCTTTTGCAGCTGCTGTCACTGCTAGCCACAACCTAAAAATAACAGCAGCTTTGATGACAGTGGGTCAGATAAGTTAGGCTTTCCATTCACAGACTGTGGCTAACTAAAGATAGAAGGGAGGCAGAGCTCTGAGATGGATCACTCTGCTCAATGCAGATCCTGAGTTAAACCTCAGAAGATAAAGCACACCCCACCCGCTAGAGCTCCTTGAGTGACTGTGGCCCATCAGTAGGGTCAAAGTAGTGTCACAGTATTAAAAAAAGATTTACGTGGAGCATTCTTCTTTTAACATTAGAAACAACAGTGACAGCTTTTCTGGATATTTTCACCTGTTTAGACCTATAAAAAAAAAACTCCAGATTAACCAGTTTAGCACTTGGACTTGACTGGGGACAAATTGAGATTTACTCATAAGTTTCAAATAAACAGTGTTATACGAACCTATATTAGTTTGTAGGTGATGCAGTACTTCTTTGACCTAGTCAAGATGGATCACTCCAAGATTCAGAGGAGAGCTATTCAAAGTTATTATTATTAGTTTTACTGCAGTGTCTGATTCCTGTGCCTTAACACAATAATCATCAAAAGTTGTAACTAAAATTTACACTGCCCAGCCAGAACATTATGACCACAGACAGGTGATTATCTCAGTACAATGGCCCCTGTCAGTGTGTGGGGTATATTAGGCAGCAAGTGAACATTCAGTCCTCAAAGTTGATGTTGGAAGCAGGAAAAATGGGCAAGTGTAAGAATCTGAGTGACTTTGACAAGGGCCAGACTGTGATGGTGAGATGACTGGGTCAGATCATCTCCTACACTACAGGTCTTGGTGGGTGTTGTTGGTCTGAAGTGGTTAGTAGCTACCAACAGTGTCTAAGGAAGGACAAATGGTGAACTGGAGACAGGGTCATGGACGCCCACAGCTCACTGATGATGAGGTTGACCTACTGTAGATTAAACTTTTAACTTCCATTTGTACTTTTCAAAAGATTAAAATGTATTTGAATCTTTGTTAAAATGGTTGAAAATGAGAAACACTGTCCATTGGTCTCTATGAAGAGAAAGAGTCAGGGGCTGTAGTGGTGATATCACACCTAGAGTGGTGAGGCTGTTGGATTGGTCTAAACAATTCTCTCTAACTCGTCCTCACGACCACAGTTTTCACTCCTTTTACATAAGTTTTTCACTGAATTGTGGACACATCTGTACTCTTCCTGACAGTAGAACTATGCACAGTGAGCCTCAGGGTGACACGAGTGCCAACCAACTGCAGCATTGACTCCTGTGTACACAGTATTGGGTAGGTGGTCATAATGTTATGGCTGATGTTTCAAATACTGGCCTTCTCCCTTCAGGACATATTATAAACACAGCTCAGTGTGTTTAGTGAATTTTAAGTTTGTTGTTGTTTCAGTTAGTGAGTTTTAAATGCCAGAACTTGGATCTATAATTTATCATTCCCACAAGTTGTGTTAAAATCATAACAGTGGTATCTGAGAAATCAAAGTATATTTAATACATTCTTCCCCTAACCAAGTATCTTTACTTCCGCTTTTAACAATGGCCTCTCACAAAGAACAGCTTTGTATCTGGTGTTGACACTTTGCATTCTTGGGTGATAGCCTCCTCTCTTCAAATGTTTTCGTGTGGAGTGCTTTGGACAGCCAAAGCCGCAGATGCCCCTGCAAACTGTCGTCATAGATATTTGTGCAGTGCAGGACACATAGCTTCAGTCCTTTTTTGACAGTTGCTAACTCACACTTGACATTCCATCTCAAACACAGTCTAAAACAGCCTTAAAGCTGAAGTATAATAAAGACAAACAAATATTTATGTAGTGATTTGAGAGTTCAAAGGAAATACTGAGATTATAACATATGAATGGCAGAGTCATTGTAGTGGCTCCATTTAAAGCTGCTAGTCCCTCTGATATTCTCATGCATGGAGTCATCCCTTCAGCTGTTAGGTATGACGACTACACCAGGAATCAGAAACAGTTCTGCTTTGTCCTGCAAAAGCTGAAGAGGATTGCCAGACAACACAGGCTGCTTGATATGATGTCAGTCAACCCAGATTCAATTCAAGGAAAGGATTTGATTTGCCTTTGATTTGCTTATTTGTGCTGTGTAAAATGTAACATTCTGATGACACTACTTGTGTTTATCGGTCCTAATGCTTTGTTGCCTTTATGCAACTGTTTATTTTAAGACTAAGTGTTCTTTCTTACTATGCACTTACATACGCATGCGTCGCACGGAGTGGCAGCAAGTTACAGCAGCTGTGTCCTCGTGTTCTTTTCCGTGTTTTTATGAAGTCCTGTTCTTATGTGTCTGTTCTTATGGTGTTATGTTGGTTGTTCTCTATTGCTGCTGTAACACAGAAATTCCCCACTGTGGGATTAATAAAGTACCTACTCTACTCATTTTCTGTTCAGTCCAGCTCTTGTCACACTGGGCACTCTGGGTAATACACAGTGCTTTTGTTCACTTTTGTTCAGGAATCAAAGGATAGAAAAACATCCATGGATCTACTGTTCTTTGGACATGATGGACTGAGATCTGGCTTTTGAAAACTCACTTTTCTCTAATGGTCCACCTTCTGTTCATTTCAGCTGGTAAAGCAACTGCTGGAACGAGACACACAACTCACCGCTGCCTGGGGTATTATTTTACTTGTAGTTGGGAGGGAGGTCATAACTCTCATATTGCATGTTCAGAGAAAAATGACAGGTGTTTATGACTCATTAGCACAAACAGTGATTGTGACAGGGTAGTTGTGGTGGAATCACTGTATGAAGCCAGTGTTCCCATCATCTGAGTGGTTTTGTACATGTGATAGTGTCACTGTTGGCCTGTGTCTTTCAACTAGATGTTCACATACTGGTTATGTCCAAACCTATATCTACAGGAGGGTCAGCCTGTGCGATTCTGGCTCATAATAAGAGAAACCTCCCTTTTGCAAGTATTGAAGGTTAATATATGGAAGTGTACTGATGTAATGCATACAAATTTTATATTTGATGTACAACAACCAAGAAATTACTTCATGCAATTACTATTTTTCCTAGTAGAAATGTCTGCAAATCATTGCCTTGGAACTCACTGTGATTATGGAAAGTGCATTTAAAACTAGTGCATGTCTTTCACAATATTGTCCATTAGAGGGGGCCAGAGATTTATTTTAAGAGGGCACATCGTTGTTGGAATTGAAGCGGAATGACTTTAAGGTGAGTACCACAGAATGAAAGAGACATTAAAGAAGTTTGCTCTCTAAGCCATATGACTCTGCCCTCCCTTACAAAGAGGAAGGCATGGAAATTTGCATCACATATAAAAAAACATCACATTTAAACACATTTTAAGTGCTTAAACTGAAAGAATTTATAAAAGCCCACATCCAGATTTAGACTGTCATTCATTTTTGCTAATTTTTGGAAAAAATAATTTTAAAGTATAAATGACCTAGTAAGAAAAAGTATCAACATGACCCTTTGGTGATCTTTATGAATTAGTATTTATTAGTATCATCTATTCCCTCAATGTGGGGAAGACTAAAGAGATTGTTGTGGACTTCAGGAGAAAACCTCTAAAACATCCACTAGTGACCATCGATGGTGC